GAAACTCGGGAGCTGTAGGGTGGTTCGGCGCTGCACGACTGGTGACCGTGGGGAGGAGAAAACAGCAGCGTTAAGCTGCGGGAAAAGGTAGTTTTCCGTAAGGGTATAGGAGAAAGAAAGAAGAGGCAAAACTAGAGGAAGGCTGTAGTTGCGCAAAAATCTTTATTCTTTGGTGTGTTTTGTGTTGGTTTTTTTTAAGGGCAGTCAAATTTGATAATGAAAGCAATTAGTAAATAGCAGGAGGTGACAGGAAATGAATCTGCAGTAGCAGTGTAGCTATGTCGTTTGAGCTGTTGCTCTTGCTACCTGTTGACCCCGTTGGTGAGATTGCAGGCTAGTAAGTACCTTTGCAACTGGGCATCTCTTCTACGGTCGAGTTCAGGAATCATGAAGTTTAGCTACCGTAGTTCTCATGCTCATAAAAAATTAATATACAATAAGAATTTGTTTAAATCAATTATATTTGATTAATTGGGGTTTTTCCTCCCTAAATGTCCAGGTTAAGTCACAGATTTAGATCTAATTTAGGATAAGACGAAAGTTCTGTTTTTCACAGGGAATCAGGTGAACAACTAGAGAGAATTTTAAATTCCAAGGATTAGAGCTGGCGTCTTGCCTGAAGGAAACCTAGTCAAGATTTGGAGCCCCTGTGAATTGCCCCGATACAAATAACAATTCGCCTTTTTGAGGTACAAACCCTGCCTGAAAACAGGAGGTGGCCTCTGGCCTGCCGAAGCTGCTGCGCGGTGACGGCGGCCGGTCCCGTCGCTGCTGGTTTGCACGGCTCCGTTTCACAGGCGGCGCTCACATGTGTCTTCCCCAGCTTGTTTGCTGGGAAAAAGAACGCGGATGGCTTTGCTACAAATGAGTTTCTTTTTGTCTGGTGTGGTTGGATTGGGTCAAAATGAGAAAGTGCATGGGAGAATGAATACATACTGTGCTTAGAAACTTATATTGGTGTGTACAAATTATCAGAGGTGTTAAGTGCATTGTAGTCTGAATGCCAGATGTATTCCAAGCTCATGGAGAGGCCCGAGAGGCTTTGTTTATACTGGCTAGAGAATTCATGACCCGTGTACTGAGTTAAAGACTGCTCTTCCAATTCTCCTTAAATATGGATCTGATTAAATAAATTTCTATAACAGTTTAGTCAGCTAGTATGGAAGGTCATCTTTTGTTTGTGATGTTTTTGTAGTCCAGTAAGAACATGAGACCAGAATTGGAAGGAGAAATGAGGAGAAAGAAAAGCAGATCCTTAAAAGCAATGCAGTGTGATCCCTGTCCACATAATATTAAAAAGAGCTTGAACTGCTAAATCAGAGTGAATAAATGAACTGCCTGTGATGACACAGCAGCCTGCTGAAGAACTTGATACCTCAAATACGTATATCCATCATGTGGAAGTTAAAATGAAAACTCCAGTTGACTAAACAGGAAGGAATTAACATTACGAATGTGTGTGGGAAACTGGTATGTGTCAAAACGCCAGTGAGATCTTCAGAGAGAACACTCCAAACTCTGTTTCAGTCTTGCTTAGTTTTCCCCCCACGTTAATGCATGAGGGCAGGATATCCCTGCTGTGTTTGTAAATCTTTTGAGGGCAATGGTGGAATTTCTGGTGTTTGAAATATCCTTACTTCTACTACTTACTTGGGACAGGGGGAAAAGGTCAGTTGGGGAAAATATGAGGATTTCTTTAAGCTTGGCTTAAAGGATCCTAGGCCCTGATTTGTCAAGATGCCTAAGAAAGTTAGAAAATCAATTAATTTTTTTCCTGTAGCTCAGGAAAGGCTCACTGACCTTTTATGCTTATAAAAATCTCTCCTTTAGCAAATGGCCCACCTAAGAAATGGATTTAGTTGATTCTTTCAGTTCCTTAGAAGGTTTCCTGAAACAAATATCAAGCCTTATATTAATAAGACCCATAACTCTAATAAACCTCTATCGTTGCTGTCTGGTTGCTGAAGAACTGTTCAAGGAGTTTAAGTAGATTTCCTTTTAAGTAGAAAAGTGCAAAGTTTCTTAAAAATAAAATAGAAACTTGGACTGAAAACCTCAGTGTTGACACTTCATCTATCAAGCATAAGTATGAAAAAATCCAAGGTAAAGGCCAGTGTTTTGGAAATGCTAATGTGTACAAGCATTTCGCAGGTTTAGCAGTAGGTAATTTCTGCTAACAACCACTGCAATTAGAAGGCTGGTATTTTAATTATTCAGTCAGTTCTTTTTCTTAGTTAAGTTGCGTCTTTTCCTATGCTGTTGAAAATTTTACAGTTTCATTCCATGCAGTGATGTTTATGTTCATTTATAGACACGAGCCTTGGGCTTTCTGAATTTTCCCCGAGTAATCTTCTCTACTCTGTCAGTTTGAGCTGTTCCTTCTCTGCTGATTCAATTCATCAAAATCTTCCATCCCACTGTAGTCCTTTGGCATTCTCTCTTGTGCTGGATTTACACTTCTCAAGTATCTTGAAGTTTATCTGACTGGTAGGAGGGCACAATAAAAAAAACCAAAACACTAGTATTGAAAAATTAAATAGTTACTGTAATTTTTTTTTTTTCCTTTGCTACTTAGAGAAGGAAGGACATGCACTGCTCGGTTTCCATATGTTCAGTAGCCTTCCTTTTGCACTTAGTATATTGATAGTCTGCTCACAACACAAAGTTTACTTCCGTGTCCTTGCTCTGTTACATGGTCTCAGCAGCAATTAGAAAGGAGGAAAAAGAAAGGCAGACTTAAGCGTATTCTCAAGATATATACATTTTCCCTACTCCTAAAAGACAACAAAATGTCTGGATGTTTCTGACAGGAAGGTTGTATTCAGCTGCTTTAGACTGAAAAAAAAAAAAATCACATGTATATCACATAGATAGCTGTTCTCTGTATGGCTAACAGGTGGTGGTGTGAAAATAATACATTTTTGATCTTTAGAAATGAGTTGCACGATTGAGAAAGCCTTAGCAGATGCGAAAGCACTGGTGGAACGGCTCAGGGAGCATGACAACGCAGCAGAAGCTCTTATTGAACAGACTACAGCTCTTAACAAGCGGGTCGAAGCAATGAAACAGGTTCGTTTTCCAGCTTTGTTTACTCCATTAAAAGAACGACTTGGAAACACATAATTTAAAATAATTTTTGTGTGCTGCTGTACAACGTGGAATCGGTATGTTGTTTGGTTAATCCTTTAATACCATACTAAGTGTTTTCATTATAGGTGTGACTATGATCTGAAAAGAGGTTGTTTATATGTTTAGTTTGATCCTGTGGAGAAGTTTTCTCTGTTACTCGAGCTTAAATATTGAAAACTAGCATTTGTTTGAAGAACATTGGTAGAAGTGGGGTCGGTATCTTACAAACCACTGTGTGGTGTCTTGTGTTTTGTGAAATACTACTTGTTTTATAAATTTCAGCCTGCACATTTAATCATGTAGAGGCCCTGTCATGCTTGCTTCCGTTCAGAATACTTTATCTTTTCTCTGGCTCCTTTTGTTTCAAAGGCTTATTCATTGTTGTTTCCATTCTGATGTTAAGCTATTCAAGGCATGTTGTTAGATGGAGCGTGACTTTCACTAGAGAACTTCTGGAGAAACATAAAGATGTCTACTGACTTGTCGTACGGGCGTTCATCCCGTCGTTGTAACAGAACATAGGATGTGTTAATGGGCCTGTAAAATAATAAAACTCTGCACGTGCTTCATCCCTGTGAAACTAGTCATGCAGAGGCTTCACAACTTCAAATCGAGAGTATTAAATCACCCATTTGTTGAAACTCAGTATCCATTCAGGCATTCTGTGTGACTTGTACCCATACGACCTTGTGGTTTAAGGTGGTGGGGAGCCACAATAAACATCTAGAGGTTAATACCTCATGGGGGTTTTTTAACCATATGTATATCAGTTTTAAATTACTTGGTGGTGAATTTGACCTGCATTAATTGACAGTTAAATAACGCCCACTGCACACATCTGAGGTATGAAACTTGTTTAAAAACAAAGGCGACACTTGTGAACTGTAAAGAGCAGTGTGTTGGTAACACCTTAAGAAGTGGTTTTGTTTGTTTCATGTCATTATCTAGAAATAAGCACTATCTTGCTGGTTACAGACTTTGACTGACATTAGAACTGGTCCTTTGTGACTTGCAGAGTAATGTTTACCTTTGGTTACTCAAATATGTTGTGGTCTTTTTTTGTTTTGTTTTGTTTTGTTTTCTAATAACTAGTACCAAGAAGAAATTCAAGAGCTCAATGAAGTAGCAAGACATCGTCCTCGGTCTACGTTAGTGATGGGTATCCAACAAGAAAACAGACAGATTAGAGAACTGCAACAGGAAAATAAAGGTAAAATGTGAATATTCTATCCTTTACAAGTTCCAGCCTGCGCCACTGGAATTAGTTTTTTACCATTTATCTATGCTGAAAAAATTGTTGTAGAAGAAATTTTTTCTTCTAATCTCAGTTCGTCAGTTTAACTGACCATAATGCAATCTAGTAAAGAGTCCTAACGTCCAGCCACTGGGACTACGAGTAACAAAGAGAGAGTTGTGGAAAATTACTTTGTCCTTATCTAACGTTCAGCACAAGTGAGGAAATAAATATGACTTACTTCTACAACATAGGTATCTATTTGGAAATGTGTTTTCCCACTGCCAGAATAACTCATTTAGAAGCAGCCAGGTCAAGTTTTAGTGTAAGTGTAGTAGTGTAATTCCTTCCGGAATTGTGCACACTAGGAATATACTGTTCCTCCTGAAATTGTTGTGTTCAGCAAAGTTCTGTACTGTTCCTCCTAACAGTTGTATTCAGCAAAGGAGCCAGTGCTCTCGATTCGTATGAATCTTGTCTTATCTCCGGAGTAATTTGTCCTCTGACCTAGTATATTTTGAACAGAAGTATTTTTTAGCTCTTAATTTACCAAGCTGCAGATTAAAACAGATCTGTAAACTTCCTTCCAGCTTTTGTACAGTGTTGCTCATAGTGGCCAGAGTAAAGCTCCTCAGCTACACTCAAGATGGTTTAGATCAGCTCAAGGCACTGAATATGAAGTCATATTAACAGAAGACCTTCTGTTTCTGACTGAGCAAGAACTTGCCCAGGGCAGTCAACACTGAAGACGTTTGCAGAGCCTATGTAGATTTTATAGTGGGAGGAGAGGGGACACTCAGTTAAGGGCTTATTTTGGTTTTCTCAAGCTGAAGTACTTTGGCATTTTGTTTCACTACTTCTCTGTTAAACTTTAACGGAATTTAAAATTATGTTGGTAGAACTACGCACATCTCTTGAAGAACATCAGTCTGCTTTGGAACTCATAATGAGCAAGTACAGAGAACAGATGTTTAGGTTGCTTATGGCAAGCAAAAAGGATGATCCAAGTATAATAATGAAGTTAAAAGAGCAACATTCCAAGGTAATAACATCTCTTTTTGGTTTTCCTTTGTTTTTGTAGTTAATACTTAAGTTAGCTTGTAGTAGATCAGTTCAAAGCTTAATTTGTCTCAGTTTTTTTATCGTGGTACTAACAAGACCTGATTTTTATAATCGAGTCTGCGAAATGTGAACAGGAAACTTGATCAGTCTAGTCAGTCAACCTTACTAGCTTCTGATTTATTTAAGCTTTTATCAAGTAGCATTTTGTTACTGTATCTACGTAATTTACTTTTATTTTGCCTAGGTCTTTAAGGCAACTGCCCTACTATACTCCCAGATGCCCGTAGATCTCTGTAACATTCAGACATTTAGACTGGCTTTAACTTGCGCTTGTGACTCCAACAAGTAATTAGTAAACCTGTGCTTACTGGGGAGGGTAGGAGGAGTACGCTTTTCAAATTCAATATTAAAATATTTTTCCTCTAAATACCATTAATTTTAAATAGATATTTTAAAAGCTCTTTTGAATATTGAATAAATGAGCATACAGTTCCCCTCTTTCTTGCTTCAGCCCTTGGTTCTTGTTTCAGCACTGATCAGGATTGCTAAGTAGAATCCAGGGCAGCCTGAGATGTTTGAAGGGTGGTGAAAGTTGCTGGTATTAGGTGTGCTTCATCTTATGGCTTTTGAAAACTAGAAAAGCAAAGTGCCATCAAACAACACTTTTTGTAAACTATCATGAGTGAGCTACATATGAGTATTCAGTAGCTTCATATAAGATTAGTATATGTTTAGGCTTAATGTATTTTCAGGAAAATCCATTCTTCTAGGTCACTAAGATCTAAACGGGAGCTTTCTACCAAAGTACTGTACTACATAGTAAATGAAACGTAATCATCAGAGAGCAGTGTGACTGTGTAGACAAACATTAGTTCTAAGTCTTTCATAATCCTTTACCTCAGCAAACTAAGTCTGTGAAGCAGAGTCAGGGTCTGCATACTGGTAAAACAAAGTTTAAGAATTTAATGCTTTCTTATCTCCTTACAAAATCACATGTATGTAATTAGTGCCATTGAAATCAGTGGGACTACTTAGGTTGATATGAAAGAATTCACTGGGTTAGAACTGTATCTTTAACATAAACTCCTAAAAAATGATAGGTGAATATCCTTTTGAAAAGGAATTACCTTAACATATAGTATAACATGTCTTAAAGCCTCAGGAGAGGGTAAATTTCTGTCCAAGATGAGGGTAAAATTATATCCATCCTATATCCATCCTGAAATGGACTTTGAAATTTCATTTAGGAACACTTCTATGGGTTAAAAGCTTGAGGTAAAAAAAAAAAAAAAAAGAATATGGAACAATACTCTTTTAACTGGAGATTTAGGCTTCAACATTTGGTTAAATCCCACAAGAATGCCCGAAGAGGAGATTTTATCACCCTTATCCTGACACTCAGGATTTCTGGAATTTCATTATTTCTTCTTCTGGTCAGCCTTCACATTCAATAAGATTGAACAATCTTGCCACAGTCTTTAAATACTTCTCTCCTGTTAACTAAGAAATCCGTCATACCTAAGGAAATAATCTCGCTGTTAGCAGTAATCGCTGTTCTCTCAAGTGGCAGCCATTAACTTTAGTGCTTATTTACAAAACATTATTTAAAAAATCATTAATTTCTGCAGATCCACAAGCACCTCTTTTAAACAGAGAGCCAACTTCTGTTAGCAGCGTTGTATGCATGAGAAAAGTGTGTTGGTGATAATGAGCCTGATCTAAGTGTGCTGTTTGAATTTACTCAGCTGAAACAAGGCCTAAAAACGTGTGGCTTTTTTTCTCTTCAGAGAAGATAAAACAATGTATGGCAAATGAAAAGGAGAGAGGTTCAAAAAGTGTTCGTGGATGTTTGAGGCTGTCTTCATAAAGAAACACTTTCATTGCACTCTTGGATATTACAGCATCTAAGTTTTACGGGTCTTGCTTCCAGACTAGAAGTAATTTTTGTGTTGGCATCTGATCCAATGTCAGTGACCTTGGAAGAGGCCCTAAATCACATTGATCAAGAGGCCACATAAGCAGGCGAAATAGGAAGTAGGGAGGACAGCAGTATATCTAAAACCCACTAATTCCTTCCCAGCCTTTCTCAAGGGTATATATATTCTTGCCAACTCATTCTTTTACCGCTGATCACACCTTCCTTTCAAGCTAAATTTAGTTTTGAATTTAAAAAGTTTTTCATGTAATCACCTTCACTGAAAACTGAGAAGAAAATAAAGATTCACAGCTAGTTTGGTGTTTGGTTGTTGGTTTTTTTTCCTCTCTCCCCTCTATGCCGTGAGTGGGCGTTTAATGAGTAAACAGCTAAACTGTAGCTTTGGCCATTGGAGTGGCAGAGAAGAAAGGATGGAAAGGGCCAGTGTTCATTTTAGTAGAGTGTATTTGTTTTGGTCATGTAAAGTTTATGATTCCTAGAGAGGCAGTTCAGTCAGTTCTGTTACTTTAAAGGCAAGCTGATACCTGCTCGATGTGTGGACCTCCAGTCAAACTCACCATTTAAAGGTGGGATTTAACTTTAGTCTATACTGTTCTTCATTTCAGTCCTACCGTTCTGCTTTTCCCGATATTACTTAGTAACTGTTGTGAATTTTGTCCAAAGGTCAGGTCAGACATGGATAGGCTGACATGACAGTAGAATAAAAGACAAGTTGAGGAAAAGACAATGAAAAATAAAAGCTTCTGGAAATACCATTGAAATATTTGGCTTAACCGAAGAGCAACGAATGCCAAAGGCATAGGCTCTTTATCTAGATCTGCAGGGGAAAAAAGTAGTGACCCTTTAAGCATTTCCTGCTGGTAGGTTGGCAACAAAGAAAACAGTCACTGGAACCAGCAAGGTCCAGTTAAGAGATCACTTCTCTGCACATAGTGAAGATGACTGTCTAAAACCGAGCTTCCTTGCAAAGGCTGCTATGCTGATGCTAGTGGCTCCTGTCGGCCCGCTCCTGGCAGTGGAACAGCACAAGAGCAAAGCAGACTGCTGCTGTTTTTTACTTCCTCCCAGAATCTCTCAGCGAGATGTGGTACTTGTTTATTTATAAAAGGAAAGTACCCGACTAGCATTCCTGAACAGACACAAAGAGGTCAGTCAGAACACAAAAGTTTTGCTTATGATTCAGCAAGGACAAGGACCTCGAAGTCCAGATGCCAGATAAGCTGGAATTGGAAATGGAATCAAGCAGAAGTATCTAAAAAATTGCTAAGGACAGATCTGAGTTTCCTAATATATGACATAGTAAGGATGACCATTTCCTCTGTTGTTTTTTTTAAGAGATAAATGCCTACCTGTGGGTACTGGCTGTAGTGGACTTGGGATCAGGTTTCAAACATGGAAAGAATGTCGCATACCGTGCTGTTCTTAGATGAATTTAGGCTTTCTGCATATCCAAAATGATATTCATCAACTCCTGCGACACAGGGAGGCCTTGTCAGAGCAAGCACATGGCTGACTTGAAGCTGTTTGGAAGACGTGGAAGCTATGGAAGACACAGTCATTCAAGCACGTGTAAAACGCTAACAAAAGGGATCACGATGTGGCAAACCAGGTTGATTTAAATAAACAGTAGCACAGCTGCTGCTCATGCTGTGAAGTCACAGAGAACTTGTTTTCTCAAATTTAGGCCTGTGTTCACATTTTTATTGAGTGGCGCAGCAGCCAAAACGCACATTTAATGCTTTCCTTATTTTTAATGATGCAGAAAATACGTTACTAAAGCTGTCATCATTGAATTTTTATGTCTCAGGAGCTGCAAGTGCATGTGGACCAAATCACAGAAATGGCAGCAGTAATGAGAAAAGCCATTGAAATTGATGAAAAGCATGGCTGCAAAGAGCAGGAACGTATCATTCAGCTGGAAGTAAGTACGAAATCGCAACAGCAATGGCACAGATAGCAAGGCAGTAAACGTTATTGCCATTTTTTTCTATCGAGTTACTGTATCAGTCACTCACGCTGCTGTTTTGTTGCACTTTCCTCCCTGGAGAACTGTAAGTAGTATTTTTTCCCACTATAGCTTACTCTCAATTCTTGCATAGGTGATAACTTTGTCACCAGAAATCGGAGATGTGTATTTATATACTGACTTAACCTTTCTCTTTTTTTTGAAGTCTCTGTGAGTGTAGCAAAAAGCTAGGAAATAATATAAATTCATCCTAATAAGATGCTAGGATGCAAATAATACCCACACCTTTGACTTTTAAATATTACTGGTTTTTTAATAATAATTCTGTGCTGCATTTTGGGGGTTTACTCAGTTGCTTATCATTGGAGGGTCAGCACTATTGCTTTTTCCTTAAGTGCTAGCAAAGCAGTTTATCATGGGACAGGGTGTGTGTAAAGAACAGGAGATTTATTTTTTTAAATGCAGTATTTGAACTTTATTACCGTTTTCTTACCCATCTTTGTGTTTTGAGGTTGGGTTTTTTTGATGCTTAATGCCCATTCAAGAGAGCAAGAGGGTCAGAAACCTAATGTTCTTAATTTTAGAAGATAACATAGCACTACTTGACTGCAAATCAGTATTTTATACACGTTTGGAGTAGAAGAGAGGGGATGTTAAGAATGCAGTTATATTGATTTCTTTCTGGAGTTCTATTAAATGCCTTTTCTTTCTCTGGTTATAGCAAGAAAACAAAGGCTTGAGAGAAATTCTTCAAATAACTAGAGAATCATTCCTGAACCTCAAGAAAGAAGATGCATCAGAGAGCACATCTCTGTCAGGATTAGTAACAAGCAGTGATTTGAGCCTGAGAAAAAGCTAAAGACTGCAGAAGCCAACAAGCTTCAGTTGCACACTTTACAAAGGGAGTATCAGGGGTCACTTGTCAAGCACTTGTTACTGAATAGGGCACCAGCGAGCTAATGCATCCTAAACTCCAGCTGAGTGGCTTTTATACTGCGTAAAACATTGAAATTGGTATTCTGCAAAAACCGTAGTGACAGATTAATTGCCATAGATCTAACTTCAGTAGGAAATGGATTAATGCACGTACTGAATTGGGAATTATTTTTATATGAAGCCATTTTACAGACAAAAGACAAGATTACACATAATTTTTATATAAATTATTGCTGACTCAAAGTTTCAGTACGCCTATTATATGATAAAGGTAAGATTTAAAGTCTGATCTTGGCTAAAAAGTAGGAACTTATGAATATGCTTTGTGCATGATCCACATTACACTTTTTTTCCTTTTAGTAAGTTTTTAATACATTCTCATTTTGCAATAAATCTGCTTAATGGAAAGGGGACACAGGCAGCATAAAATTTAAGGATTTCTGCTATTTAGCCATGAGGTATCCTGTTCAAATATAAGGCCAACTGTTTAAACATGAGCAGTGCTTTTGCAGTTGTTCAATATTTATTTTTTTTAATTGAACAAGATTCATTAAAATACGTATACTTAATTGTATTTTCAAAACATGAGAAGAGCTGCTCCCACTTAATTGTTTTCTGGAAAACAGGTAGCAAAGTATAAATCTGCCTTAGCTTTCACTTTCATGAGAGAAAACCAGGCTCAGTTCTGTGTAGGTAAGAAGCCACATTAGTCCCATCTATTTCTTCTCCGGTTGCCTGCCCAAACTTCCGAACTGGGAAACGGCTCTGTGAAAGCACCCAAGCAGCAGCAAAGTGGTTGGGGGAAGGAAGAAGCAGCTCTGTGGCAAAGCTGGCAGCCTGCATGCCTGCAGTCAATACTCTTTAATTAAGTACTGGTCATCAAGGAGGTTTTTAGGTTAGTTTCAGGTACATGTTATGTTTGCACTAGGAAAAGTTTCAGTATGCTATACTGACAAAGAGACTGCTCGCTTTCCATCCTGAAATGCTTGCAGAAGTGAAGAAGAATTGGCTTTTCTAGATCAAAGTGCAGCTTATATCAAATGCAGATATGATAGAAGTGCTACACAAGACAGGCTTGTAGTAAAGAGGTGCCAAAATAATTCATATTTGACTTTGGTTTGTCAGACTGCCGCTTCTTGGTCAAGGCAGCAACAACATTCCTAGTATCGATGTGTATCATCGCTTTTTGTCCAGCATGGCAATGTGTTCTTCACTTGGAATGCATACTCAAAGCAGCAGAGGGAAAGCTTTCAACCACAGAAAATTGTAGATCTACAAATGCCACCCACAATTGAATATTTTGGCTGTTTAATAACTCACCTAGCAAAACGAGTTGAACTCCCCTTCTGAAATCAACCATCACTTAATCGAACTCGATTTTCAGTTGCAAGAATGCAAAAAGAATTGCGCATCACGCGCTTCTAAGTGTGTCAGTTTCAAATACAACTTCCTTTGACTCAGCACAGCTTCCCTGGGCTCAAGGTAATTGCGCCACAGATCTAAGGGGGCAACTTTCAGTTTCCAGTGAATTCATTTATGGGGAGCTAAATACTTTTGTTCTGTTGCTGTCAGTTCCTGCTCTCCTTCCCATGGTGCTTTTAAGAGAAAGGAGTGACGTTGTGGAAAGAGGAGTGTTTAGTAGAGACAGTAAATGCTAGTTTTCCATTAGCTAGTACATGTACTGGGAATCGCAGTTGAAGAGCTCAGAAAGAACAGATAAATCAAACTCACCACATTTTCGCAGCAGTTTTTATAAATGGAGAAACTGCTACTTCTCTTTCCAGAGCATCTTAGCTTGTTTCTGGCCTTAAGAATATACTGAAGACATTCATGTGCATGGAAGAAAGTTTTAACCATTTCCAAACGTGCTAAACATCTGAGGGGAATTTTTTGGGGAACATTTTAGCTGAAGCACACAATATACTTGTCTGCTATTATTATCTGTAAAACTTTGCCAGTGCTTCCATAATTTAGATTTTGCAGTTCTACTGTAGCTTGCAAGCCGGTGACTTATCAGAAGCAACACCTTTTTTTGAGGCAGTGTTTTGTTGTTACAAACCTACGAGAAGTTTTGGGTTCAGTTGATTAAGTTACTCTTTTTAGAAGCGTCTTTTCAGCCGCTGACTGGTATCAGAGGCGTTTACATCCATTTAACGCTGAACGCCGTTTCATGGCTGACTCTCCAGTTTGTCTTTCAAATACAATCTCCAAAGTTGCACAGCAGAGAAAGGTTGTTAGTCTGTGGCAGTTCTTACAGGTTGCTCTATTATGAAATAATGCTTGATTAGTGTTTATTTTTGTAAATTAAAAAAATGTGACTTAATTTATCTACTCCTAGTCTTCACGTTTGATATGTCTCCCCTGTCATTCCCCTGACCTGACCACTTTAGGATTTTAAAGAACCTTCACAGTGTGTGGAGTGACTATTTTTCATTGCATACCTGTTATTTTTGTAATGCAGATGGCTTGAAAAGAATTTATGGCTAGAATTGTGTACTGTACAGTAAACTTATTTTATCAATAAAGTTGACTGAAAACGTGGATGTCTTCATGATTAAAGCAAGGTACTGAGTCTGAAATGAGCCTTGCTAGTAACGTGTAAGAAAAAAATACATTGCCGTTTACTCATTTTTATACTTTCAGGCAGGCCAATTTCTAGTGCTTTTATTCATGTTGCTAAATAGCAAAAGAAAAAAAAATCCTTTGTAAAGTCTTTGCTTTCTCTTGGAAAACCAACAATCTCTTCTATGCAGGTAGCTATTAATCGCTCAAATGAACCGCTGGAGCTGTTGACTAATACAGAGGAGCAGTAAGGATAAACAAAAAGCAGTCCGCCAGGCTTGGGAGTTTTGGATCAAAACATATTTTGGTACAGATAGGATGTGACAGTTTTGGGTTTTTCTTGAAGATGAAAAAAAAAGTCTCTGACTTGGTTCAACCTCTGGGTTCCTTTCTCTGTGATGGGGAAATTAGAATGGCAGTGGACTACATTCCTAAGCTGAAAAGGTAATGTTTTAGAATCATAGAATCATAGAATGGTTAGGGCTGGAAGGGACCTTCAAAGGTCATCTAGTCCAACCCCCCTGCAAGGAACAGGGATATCTCCAACTAGATCAGGTTGCTCAGAGCCTCGTCCAACCTGGCCTTGAACATCTCCAGGGATGGAGCATCCACCACCTCTCTGGGCAACCTGTTCCAGTGTTCTACAACTCTCATGGTAAAAAATTTTTTCCTAATATCCAATCTGAATCTACCTCCCTCTATTTTAAAACCATTACCCCTTGTCCTATCACAACAGGCCCTCTTGAACAGCCTCTCCCCATCTTTCCTGTAGGCCCCCTTGAGGTACTGGAAGACCGCTATAAGGTCACCCCGGAGCCTCCTCTTCTCCAGGCTGAACAGCCCCAACTCTTTCAGCCTGTCCTCATAGGAAAGGTGCTCCAGCCCTCTTATCATCTTCGTGGCCCTCCTCTGGACCCTCTCCAACTGGTCCATGTCCTTCTTATGTTGGGGGCTCCAGAACTGGACGCAGTACTCCAGGTGAGGTCTCACGAGGGCAGAGTAGAGGGGAAGAATCACCTCCCTCGACCTGCTGGCCACGCTCCTCTTGATGCAGCCCAGGATGCGGTTGGCCTTCTCGGCCGCAAGAGCACATTGCCGGCTCATATTG